TTGAAAATACCATGGCTTGGGTCCGGCACACTTTGGTCTTCAAGGTGACACCTTTGCTTTCTAAAATCTTAAAGAGGTCTTTTGCAGCAGATTTGCCCAGTGCAATGCGTCATTTGATTTCTTCACTGCTGCTTCCATGGGTGTTGATTGTGGATCCAAGTAAAAGGAAATCCTTTACTACTTCAATATTTTCTCCATTTATCATGATGTTGCTTATTGATCCAGTTGTGAGGATTGTTGTTTTCTTTATGTAGAGACATAATCCATACTAAAGGCTGTGGCCTTTGATCTTCATCAATAAGTGCTTCAAGTCCTCTTCACTTTCAGCAAGCAAGGTTGTTTCATCTGCATATCAAAGGTTGTTAATGAGTCTTCCTCCAATCCTGATGTCCTGTTCTTCTTCATATAGTCCAGCTTCTCAGATTGTTTGCTCAGCATACAGACTGAATAAGTATGATGAAAGGATACAACCCTGACACACAGCTTTCCTGACTTTAAACCATGCAGTATCCCCTTGTTCTGTTCAAACAACTGCCTCTTGGTCTAAGTACAGTTTCCTCATGAGCACCATTAAGGGTTCTGGAATTCCCATTCTTCGAAATGTTATCCATAATTTGTTATGATCCACACAGTCAAATGCCTTTGCATAGTGAAAAAACACAGGTAAACATCTTTCTGGTATTCTCTGCTTTCAGCCAGGATCCATCTGACATCAGCAATGATATCTCTTGTTCCACATCCTCTTCTGAATCCAGCTTAAATTTCTGGAATTTCCCTGTCGATGTACTGCTACAACCATTTGTGAATGATCTTAGGCAAAATTTTACTTGCCTGTGATATTAATGATATTGTTCAATAATTTCTGCATTCTGTTGGATCACCTTTCTTTGGAACGGGTACAAAGATGTATCTCTTCCCATTGGTTGGCCAGGTAGCTGTCTTCCAAATTTATTGGCATAGACAAGTGGGTGCTTCTAACGATGCATCTGTTTGTTGAAAGATCTCAGCTGGTATTCTGTCAGTTCCTGCAGCCTTGTTTTTCTTCAATGCCTTCAGTGCAGCTTGGACTTCTTCCTTCAGTACTAGTATGCTACCTTCTGAAATGGTTGAATGTTGACCAGTTCTTTTTGGTACAGTGACTCTATGTATTCCTTCCATCTTCTTCTGATGCTTCCTGTGTCGTTTAATATTTTCCCCATAGGATCCTTCAATATTGCAACTCGAGGCTTGAATTTTTTCTTCGGTTCTTTCAGCTTGAGAAATGCCGAGCGTGTTCTTCCCTTTTGATTTTCTATCTCCAGCTTTTTGCATATGTCATTATAATACTTTACTTTGTCTTCTCGAGCCACCCTTTGAAATCTTCTGTTCAGCTCTGTTTTCCATTTGCTTTAGCTACTCGATGTTCAAGAGCAAGTTTCAGAGTCTCTTCTGACATCCATTTTGGTCTTTTCTTTCTTTCCTTCCTGTCTTTTTAATGTCCTCTTGCTTTCTTCATCATGTATGATGTCCTTGATGTCATTCCACAACTTTCTGGTCTTCAGTCATTAGTGTTCAATGCGTCAAATCTGTTCTTGAGATGGTCTCTAAATTCAGGTGGAATATACTTAAGGTCATATTTTGGCTCTTGTAAACTTGTTCTAATTTTAACTTCAGCTTGTACTTGCATGTGAGCAATTGACAGCCTGTTCCACAGTCAGCCCCTGGCCTTGTTCTTACTGATAATATCGAAATTTTCCATCTTCTCTTTCCACAGATGTGGTCGATTTGATTCCTGTGTGTTTCATCTGGCAAGGTCCACGTGTATAGTCACCATTTATGTTGTTGAAAAAAGGTACTTGCAACGCAGAAGTCATTGATCTTGCAGAATTCTATCTTGAGGTCTCCAGTGTCATTTCTATCACCAAGGCTGTGTTTCCAACTACCAATCCTTCTTCTTTATTTCCAATTTTCTAATTCCAATCATCAGTGATTATCAATGCATCCTGATTGTATGTTTGATCAGTTTCAGACTGCAGAAGTTGGTAAAAATCTTTAAAAATTTCTTTATCTTTGGCATTCGTGGTTCGTTCGCAAATTCGAGTAACAGTCGTATTGACTGGTCTTCCTTGTAGGTGTATGGATATTATCCTATCACTGACAGCGCTGTACTTCAGGATAGATCTTGAATTTTTTTTTGATTCATGCCAGTGATGTTGGGGTGAATGGTATCTCATTGTGGTTTTAGATTTGCATTTCTCTAATAGCTAGTGATCTTGAGCATTTCCTCATGTGAATGTTAGCTGCCTGAATGTCTTTTTTGGTGAAGTGTCTCTTCATATCCTTTGCCCATTATTTAATTGGATTATTTGTCTTTTTGTTGTAGAGCTGTTGGATTTTCCTATAAATTTTAGAGATTAGACCTTTGTCCGATATGTCATAGCCAAAAATTTTTTCCCAGCCTGTAGATTCTCTTTTGACTCTTTTGGTGAAGTCTTTTGATGAGCATAAGTGTTTAATTTTTAGAAGACCCCATTTGTCTAGCTTATCTTCTGGTGTTTGTTTATTGTTAATTATGGTTCGTATCCTGTTTATGCCATATGTTAGGGACCCTAATGTTGATTCTGTTTTTTCTTCCATGATCTTTACAGTTTGTGTTTTTATATTTAGGTCTCTGATCCATTTTGAATTAGTTTTTGAGATATGGGTTGATTAGGCTTTTAACTGTTATCCCGTATGATGGTTAAGCATGTGTGTCAACTTGGCTGGGCCATGATTCTCAGTGATTTGGCAGTTATGTAGTTTGGCAGTCACATAATGATGTAATCATCTCCATGATGAGATCTGATATAATGTGATCACCTCCATGATGGGATATGCTGTGAAATCAGTTGAAAGGGAGTTTCCTTGGGGGTGTAGCCTGCATCCAATATATATTGACTTTCTGGCAAAGCTCAGTGGCTTTTGCTCTGCTCTGGATCCTACATTTGGCTCCTCAGCATCTGACCTCCAGTTCTTGGGACTTGGGCCAGCATCCTGCCATCTGACCTGCCGATCTTGGGTTTGCCAGCCCCTCAGCTACGTGAGTCAGGAGAAGCCTCTAGCCTGACCCAGGGACTTGGAACTTGCCAGCCTCTCCAACCAGGTGAGCCATTTTCTTGATATAAATCTCTCTCTCTCTCTTTCTCTCTATATATACATGCTTCACTGGTTTTGCTTCTCTAGAGAACCCAGCCTAAGATACCCTATAAGACCAAACCAAACTCATTGCCATTGAATTGATTCTGACTCATGGTGACCCTATAGGACGGAGTGGTACTGGCCCATAGAGTTTCCAAACTTGTAAATCCTTACAAAAGCAGACTGCCACATTTTTCTCCCATGGCTGATGGGTTCAAACTGGCCACCCTTCGGTTAGCAGCTGAGCACTTAACCACTGTGCCACCAGGGTTCCCACCCTGTAAGAAAGGAAGCTAAAACATTACATTTATATGCCATTGTCCAGAAAGAAAAGGACCATAGACCTCAAGAGTGTGGTAATACCAGCATAGTTCTGCTTCCCCCTGAGGCCCTATGTCAGCAACCAGTTGTCTGACTATATAAAGTTTCTTGTCAATCTGCCAGTCTCTAACACTTGGTATTATCAGAATTTTTAATTTCTGCCAATCAAGTGGATATAAAATGGCATTTCATTCTTATCTTCATCTTGATTACTAATCAGGTTAAAATTTTTTTCAAAATATTGGCCATTCAAGTTTTTTCTTTGGTGTAATGCCTATTCTTAGCTCCTGTGATTTTTTTCCCTATTGGATTGTTTGTCTTTTCCTTACTGATTTACGGGAATTCTTTATCTATTGTAGACACCAATAATTTGTCTGTTATGTCTATTACAAATATCTTCTCCAGATTTGTAGCTTGTCTCTCCACTTTATTAATAAGAATCTTTGGTGAAAGAAGTTCTTAATTTTAATGTAGATTTTATCAGTCTTTTCTAGCAGTATTTATTAAATAGCTTATCATTTCCCTATTGATTTGTAATTTTCCCTCTATCATATACATGTGTCTGTTTTTAGACTCTCATTAGGTTCCAGTGGCTTAATAGTCCACCTGTACACAAATACTCATTGTCTTAATTGCTTTAACCTTCTAGTAAGCTACTAATTATATTCTTCCATGTGTCTTGGTTATTTTAAGTTGCTGATTTGATTTTTATAACAGTGTAAGTATGGTGACCATACAATGTGTAGTCTAAAATTGAATACTTTTTGGGTGAAAAGAGATGTCATTAATAATTATGACAGGATATAGGCATATACTAGGATCATCCTGGCCAAACTGAAACACGCTGATCTTAGTTATAGGATTATTCAGGCTTTCTGTTTCTTCTTGAGTTAGATATATAGTTTTTTTAATGTGCTGATTTTGTCTAAGTTTTCAGATTGATGCAAAAGTGTTCATATTTTCTCATTATTTTTAAACTATAATTAACTTGTAGTTATATTTCCTTCTTGATGGCTAGTATTATTTAGGTGTGCCTTCTCTTTTTACTGGAGCCCTGGTGGCACAGTGGTTAAGAGCTCAGCTGCTAACCAAAAGGTTGGCAGTTCGAATCCACCAGCTACTCCTTGGAAACCTGATAGGGCGGTTATACTCTGTCCAGTAAGGTCACTGTGAGTTAGAATTGACTCAATGGCAACAGGTTTTTTTTTTTTTTTTTTCTCTTTTTACTTGATAAGCCTTCAGCGGATTATCTACTTGGTAGTTAATCTCTTTAAAGAATCGACTTTTAGCTCTGTCCTTTGTCTCTCTTTTTACTCTAGGCTTTTTAATAAATTTGTGGCATCTCAAATTATTCATTTCAAGGTAATTTATTTTGACTAACATCACAAGGATAGGTATATTAATTTCAATAGGGAGCTTTTTTCCTTAGTATGTACTTAAATTGAAAATAAATTATTTTTAATCTGATCTTTTCATGAAAATCTTCAGTGATTTTGATAACTTCGCTTTTTTTTCCCTCTCAGCTTTCCATCACCAATGGACAACACTGCTATCTTATGAAAATCAAATATAATCTTACACTGAAGAATGTTGACTATGAGCTAACAGTCAAATTTTGCTGCACCTTGATTTTACCCTACAGATCTTGCTTCACAGAAAAAAAACCAATGCCTTACAATCAAAGTCCGGAGCAGTCTACCAGGAATCATAGTGAAAATGAAAGGAGGCTAAAGGAGAAATGGTGGGAAGAAAAAGAAGGAGGAGAAGGTAGAGGAAGAGAAGAAACGAAGAAAGGAGAGAAGGAAAAAGAAGAGAAAATGGAAAAAGATGGACTGTGTCCCAAGAAAAGAATACTCAGCAAATCCCTCATGGACACTCTTTGGGCAAATTTTAAATTAAATAAATGCCCTGGAGTACGAGCTTATCTATCGCTCTCATTTGAACTTAACTTGACAGATAAACAGGTATGGTAACCTATTTCTTCACTGACAAAGTCACTTAAATACTATTACTCATATAATCCAGTATCTTTATACCTGAATTAGTCACCTCTCACACTTTATTTTTTGCAGATAAAACAATGGTTTTCTAAAAAGAGGAAGAAATACAAGAAAGAAATGTTCAGGTGGAAGCATAACATAAGATACAAGAAGTAAGAATGTTTTCTATGTAGAACACTAAGTCATAAGTAAGTGAAATGGAATATATTGACTTTTTTGGAGATAGTTTGTGATCCCATAGTTACTGGATATCTCAAATACTTTTTTGTATTCCATCCAGTTAGACAAAGAACCATCTACTGCTCTACTTTTTACTCCACTCAACACTCATAAATGCATACACACATATATACACACCACTGTTTAACATGTAGTTATAGTATCAAAAGTATAACTATAGTCATTAGATTGTTATTGATTGTAGCATGTAATTAACTCTTGTCCTTCTTGTTTCTTGGATGCTGAATATATTTGACGGTCTTGCTTTTCCAGGTATTGGCAGAAACTCAAGTGATTTCAGAATGAATTAAGATGAGAACATCAACATTTTTAATAGCACTAGGCTGGATATAAAGCAAACTGTTATGTATTATCTTACTTGATCATCACTCTAACCCATAGACGAGGAAACTGAATTGCTGAGAAATGATGCGACTTCATCAACAAGAAACTGTTCCTAACTGTCTGAGCGTGAAGTCATACTCCCATCTCTCAACTTCAACTCCCATGTGATTTCCAGTATAGCATGGGAAATGTAGGCTGTATCAATTTGTGTTTATATTGTATATAGTGTTTATGTAGTCAATATTCTCTGTTAAAATTCCATTGTGATAATATTTCTAATGTTCTTGTGCCTTCTCCAACTCCATGAACTTCCTAACTTCTTTGAAACTTTTCAAGTGTGTTGTAAGAAGATCCCCTTGTACTTCAATGGAGATTATTTTTCAGATTTAACATATTTTGATATATGTTAAATATATGTACTATGCTGGGAAACATTTTGTGTCACTTTATCCTCATGTATACACGCAGTTCTGGAAAGATAAACAAGACAATAATAACAATTGTCAATTCTGTGAAGTAGAACTGAAGGAAGGAAATGCAAAGGACATTCTAAACATTATATTTTCACTCTACTGTAATATTTGCGGAGCCCTTGTAGCACAGTGATTAAGAGCTGGGCTGCTGACCAAAAGGTCAGCAGTTCAAATCCACCAGCCCTTCCTTGGAAACCCTGTGGGGCAGTTCTACTCTATCTTATAGGGTCTCTATGAGTCGGAATTGACTTGACGACAACTTTTTTTTTTTTTTGGTAATATTTGAAAGGAGCCCTGGTGGCACAGCAGTTAAAGTGCTCAGCTGCTAATCGAAAGGTCGGCTGTTCCAACCCACCAACCGCTTCACAGGAGAAAGACGTGGCAGTCTGCTTCCGTAAAGAATAACAGCCTTGAAAACCCTGTGGGACAGTTCTACAGTAGGTCACTATGAATTGTAATTACTGCAGTGGGGTTTTTTGAATAATATTTGAAGTTTTTGTAATATAAGCGTATTGATTTTTGTTTAAAAAACAGTCAATAAAGAACTTACTCATCCCTGTGGAAATGTTCAGGAAATAAAAGAGAAAAATGCACCATAGACTCTAACGGGTTTGGTACATTCTGCCTTTTCTCTACATACTTGACTATGGTCTTGGAAGGGTGATTTTTGTCTGTGTGATTGAATGAGAGGAGCAAGGTTGTTTAGTTTTTGGTTGTTTGTTTTTTTTTTGTGGCAAGAGTGATTTGATGGATGGGCTGCAGATAAGGAGGGAAGTGAAGGCAAGAAGATGGCACGAATGGTTATGAAGAGAGTCACTTCCCAGATTTCATAGTAGATTTTGACATTTGATGTGATTTTTACAATTCATGCAGATGAACCATCTAACACCCAAGCCTTCCTGAAATTCACTAAACTTGACCCCTTCAAGGTTAAGATGTAGACCTTGTTATCTAATGTATTTCACACTGAAAACCTCAAACTCTAAAATCTCATTACGTAATTTTTAATATTCTTTCAGCTATTTCATACTGTCTGTCTTAGTTAGCTAGTACTGCTCTAACAGAAAGGCCACAAGTGGATGGCTTTAACAAAGAGAAATTCATTTTCTCATAGTCTAGTAGGCTACAAGTACAAATTCAGGGTGTCAGTTCCAGGAGAAAGCTTTCTCTGTCTGTCGGCCTTCTCATCAATCTCCTCCCTGACTAGAAGCTTTTCTATGCAGGGACCGCGGGTCCAAAGGACATGCTCTGTTCCCGGCACTGATTTCTTGGTGATATGAGGTCCCCAATTCTCTGCTTGCTTCTCTTTCCTTTATCTCTTGTAAGACAAAAGGTGGTGCAGGCCACACTCTAGGGAAACTCCCTTTACGTTGGATCAGGGATGTGACCTTAGTAAGCCTGTTACACAATCCCACCCTAATCCTCTTTAACATAAAATTACAATCACAAAATGGAGCACAACCACACAATCCTGGGAATCATGGCCAAGCCAAATTGATACATTTTTGGGGGACACAAGTCAAACCATGACACTGTCCTTTCATTGCTTCAGTGCAAACTCAAAAAGTCTGTGCTTTGACGCCTCAGTTTTCTTCGGATCTAGTGTCTGATTTTCTGGCCTCACTCAGTTCTCTAAAGTCTGAGTTTCATGATTAATAAACCTGAATCACTATCTCACCAACACCTGCAATTTCCTCAGTTCTCTTGCTCTTTTGTTCTTCTACGTGCCTGGAAAAATCTCAGCCTTTCATGAGTCTCAAATTGGCCCTATGCCTGTATGGTTGAATACTGTTGATAAATACCAGTTAAAAATTGAATTGTCTTATTGCTAACTCAGGGATAGGTTAACATCAGAGATGAGAGTAAGGCTTTTGCTGTTCATGTTATTTGGTAATTCAAAATAGCAGTTTTGTAGTTTTATATTAAAGGCTACATCAAAATTATGAAGATGATATTCATTCATTTCTTATTTTTTATCTCGTGACTTCTTTTCTTCAACTCAGAAACTTTATCAAAGTCTATTTCCTTCCTGTATGTTAAACCAAAGCCTTTCTACTCATTTTTTCCTCTCAGTCTATAAACATGTTCAATCTTCTCTGATTCTAAAAAACAAACGAAAAAACTATCTTGCCTTGTGCTGCATGTGACTCTCTACTACCCTAACTCCTTCTATTCTCATACGACTTCTTTTCCTTTTCATCTGTTTTCTGACTATAAAAGTAAAACACTTTCCTTTTGGAAAATCCGGAAAACTGAAAAAGAATAAAAATCATTTGTATATACAACCACTATTAAACTTTGGTTGCATTTCCTTCTAGGCTTTTTTTGGATCTGTATTTCAAACAAATTGGATTCATACTATATGTGCAATGTGTTTCTTTTTCTTTAAATTAACAACAAATGTGGAACATTTTTAAATCAAATATTGTTTGAAAACATTTTTGCGGCTGCATCATATTTTATCTGTTATCATTTTTCCATATTTATTTCTTTATGTAAAGCCTTAGAATTTGAATTATGGAGTTAAAGCATTTTTTTAAAAATCATTTTGCATGTAGCACTATAGGAAGGATTTACCTAACTTATTCTGTCACTAGTATTAATGAAAGTAGGGTTTTTTTTACTGTATTATAATTTTAATAATCATTGACAATAGCAGCCAATCTTCTTGAAAGAAGACCTTCCACCATATGTTCCGAATCAATTAGGCAATAGATATTTATCTGATTGCATCAAAATCTCCTGAGAACTTTCTTTTAAAAAAAGTCCCACTGGGCCTCTTAGTCAAGTAGATACAAGAGACCAAACGGGCGGCTTCTGTCCAGAGGTGAGATGGGAAGGCAGAGAGAGTTAGGAGCTGGTTGAATGGTCATGGGGAATCAGGGGCAGAGGAGAGGAGTGTGCTGTCTCAGAATGGGGTGAGCGGTTGGGGTCTCATAACAATGTATGTTTAAAAAAAAAAAATTCTGTATGGGAGACTAACTTAAAATGTAAACTTCATTTAATTACAACAATAAAAAAAAAATTCAAGGTAGGAATATGTGAAAAAGAAAAAAAAGTCCCACTGGATTATGATGTGCATCCAGACTGGGAATCATCAGTTTACATTCACGATCCCTCCTTACTTTCTTACATCTCATTTACTCCAACCCATTGAAAGTTGACATTGACTCCATTTATTTCTATACGGAAACTTTTCTGGCAAAGGTAATCGATGACATTTATATTGACAAATCAATTGACATTTTTCAGGATTTAACTTTCCACCTTACAAACTCTAGTATTCCACCTCCAACAGTTCTTCAATCGTTCTCACTCTTATTCCCCATGTCAGTAGTCTATATTCCATGACTTTCTAACATAACAATCATTTCTTCCTTATAGCCTCTCTTCATATTTACCCTACAAAGCCACAACCCTTTTTAAACTCTCCACGCATTTCGTACATCACCTGAGCAGTTGAAGATGGCTAGAGAAAAATACAACCATGCTGTGGGGTTTACATTAACTTTACCCAAAGAATTTGGGCTTTGCCCTGGTTCCATAGATATACTCTCTAAGAATACCTTGGAATTCATAAAGACTCCAGGCCACACCTAACTAACAGTTTAGGTGAGGTGATGCGGTGACTCTGGGATAGGGGCTGGCCAGGCTGGAAAAACCCACTTTGTGATATCAACTAACCTCAGGGAAGAGGAGCTGGAGTTCATATTACATAATAAGACCCTCAAAAATGTCTGGATGCGGAGGCTGTATGGATTTCCTGATTGGTGAAAGACATCCATGCAAGTAGAGGGTAGCATGTCCCGTTTTGGGACATGGACGCTCTACATTGGAAACCCTCCCGGCCCTTGCCCTATGTGTCTCTTCTTTTGTATCTTTTTTTTTTCTGCAAAAAAAGCCCTGTAAGTATGGCTCTTTCCATGAGTTCTGTGAGTCATTCCAGCAAATTATCGAAACTGAGGAAGTAGTGGAAGCCAGCACCTAAGAAGTAAGGGGGCTGGGGATCCCTGAGCTTGCGGCTGGTATCCCGAGGGGGTAGAGGGAATCCCCAAACTTATAGCCAGTAGGTCACAAGTAAAGGGAGCTTCTGGGGGCCCCCAAATTTAGAGCTGGCAT